GTTTTTAAATATAATGATGTTTATTTTCTCCTAAATGATTCAAAGAACTTTTTCTAAAATTATTGTCTGGCCTCTTGGCAAATATATCCCCACCTCAAACCTTTAGTTAAGATTATTTTTTTAAAGATTTTTTAATTTATTTATGAGAGAGAGAGAAAGTGACCACAAGCAAGGTGGGGGGAGCAGAGGGAGAGGGAGAAACAGACTCCCTGCTGAGCAGGAAGCCTGATGTGGGACTCAGTCCCAGGAGCCCAAGATCATGACTGGAGCCGAAGGCAGGTGCTTAAGCAACTGAGCCACCCAGGTGCCCCTAGTTAAGATTATTTAGTAAGTCATTTTAAAAAGTCTCGGTTTATCAAAAGACCAAATTCCCAGTGGATCATGGGCAATTCTGCACAGGTCCATGTGGGGCAGTAGCCCACACCTTGGAGGCTGCATATTAGAACCCAAAATACTGAACTTTCAATCCCTACACCGGAATAACCAAATTAGATTCTGGGGGTGGACTAGGATATTTGTCACACTCCTCTCCCGGGAGTGGGGGGCAGGGGGACTGAAAATTCCAACCCTCTAATCACATGATTGATTCTCCCGACAACCAGCACCCCCTCCTCCCCATCTTAGGGGATTTCTAAAAGTCACCTCATAAACTCATTTGTAGTTGAAAAGGCTTGGTATGAATAACAAGACATCCATTTCACCTATATGGCTCAGAAGTGACTTCAAGAACTGAGGATAAGAGACCAAATACCATAATAAAACATCCTCCCATTTCTCTTACCAGAAAATTCCAAGGGCTTTGGGAGCTCTGTACCAGAAACAGGGACAAATGTACAAACACGTATACATACAAATGTATATACATACAAAAATACATATAGACATTTAAAATCCAAAATGTGTTTATGGGGTAGCTTCCCACTCGTCTTGATTCGGAATGCTTTCAGTGCTGCTTCCATCTGAAGGAGCATCCTTCTGCAAGCCTTGCTTTTCCTATGGCAGGTTGGCAGAGGACAGCAGAGCAGCCAACACAGAACTACTGTGTGTGCATGGCTGAAGATGGTGGGGATTTTATCCTGTCCTGGGTATTTCACGTCCATGAACTAGGACCTGGGGCTCTGCACCAGGCACTTCTTTTGTTTCCTCTTTTCCTCATCTAGAGAGGGATGAAGGAGATCCTTTGTGAAAGGCATGTTCTTGTGAGGAAGTCATCGCTGTTGGAAAATAGATTTCTTATTATAAATCACAATATATACCTCCCCAATGTAGGAGGCCATCATACAGTCTCATTAAGGGCCTAAATAGAATTTAAAAGGTAAAAAAGGGGAGAATTTGCTCCCCCACACCCTGGCTGCTCGAGCTGGGACATTGGTCTTCTGCTCCACGACCGAGACTTCCACCATTGGCACTTCTGGTTTCCAGGGCTTCAGACTTGGACTTGGAACTACATCACTGGCTCTCCTGGGTTTCCAGCCTGCTGACTGAAGGTCATGGGACTTCTCAGCCTCTATAATCACATGAAACAATTCCTTATTTTAAAAATCACGTATATAGGGGTGCCTGGCTGGCTTAGTCAGTAGAGCATGTGACTCTTGATCTCAGGGTCATGAGTTCAAGCCCCATGTTGGGCATGGAGCCTATTTAAAAAAAAAAAAAAAAAAAGAAATGTGGGATCTCAGGCCCCACCCTAGACCTGCAATAATAGAAAAAACCCATATCTAGATATTGATATGGAAATATGCTCCTATTGGTTCTGTTTCTCCAGAGAACCCTGATTAATAGGCAGTTCAGTTATTCAGAAAACAAAAACAAAAAACAAAAATAGGAGCAAGTATAAGAGAATTGTATGGGAAGCAATTCAACTTCCAGCAATATAAGGCTAAGAACTATAATCAATCTGAAGGTATTGTCTTTATTTTTCATCTTTTAGTATGCAGTCATTTGAATCACTTCTGTACCAGTTGCTGAAATTACCCATTTAAGGAGAGCTAAGTTTGCTCCATCTAAATACAGAACCCACATAAGTGGAAAGATGGTAAAATCTTTCCAACTCCTGGTATGAAAATATTTTAAATATTTATCATTTAGTTTTATACGTGTATTTTAATATTTTATTATACTGCCTGCATCTTTCACGTTTATCTGCAACCGTGTTTGACAGTAATTTCATTGATCAGGGATGGACAAATTATGGTCCATGGATGGTTTTTATATGGCCAAGATAGAAATAGTTTTTACATTTTAAATGCTTTTTTTTTTAAGATTTTATTTATTTATTTGAGAGAGAGAGAGAGAGCACATGAGGGGGGGGG